AGGCTTGGGAGGGTGTGTTCTGGACACATCAGCTGTGTTAAATCCAGCAGCTGGAACGCCCAGTTCACTCATACTATTTGGTAAGTGTTGGTGTGCATTTTGAGTGGGACAGAGGGAGGATCAGCCCAGACTTTGAGGAGGAGTTGCCATGATTGTCTCTGAAGAATTGAATGAGATACGTTTGCCATTTTAGGGGTGCGTGTAGATTTTATAGCTTAGAAGCAGGGACATGGACCAGACGACTTCTTGAAAATCTTATCAGATAACTGACGGTCATGTGCTCAAGAACTATAGAGAGTGATCGTCTTCCAGCCGGGAGAGCTGGCTTCTTGCTGCAGCCCTGGTACAGATTCCTGTGTGGCTCTGGGTTTGTTTGACCTTTGCTTCAGGCTGGCATAGGGGGTTGGATGCAGTGAGCCAGGAACACCAAAGACTTGCCGTATGAACCATACAGCTTGGTGCTGGTGGAGGTGACCTGCTGTGAGCCTGGAGCAGTCCTATGAAGGTAACAGGCACCAGGAAGACAGGGGTCCCATGGCGGCTGATCCTGCTACGTTCCCGAATCACCCAAGCCTGGAAGGTTAGGCCAATTCCTTAGCCAGGCATCGGGCATGGGAGTGAGGCAGGGAGGAGGCACAGTAGGTTACTGTGCAGTAGGATACTGATACCTGATGTGTTCTCACTCTTCCCAGGGCTGCACAAAGTGTCACTTAGGCCTCCCAAGAGTCTGGTGATGGGACTTCTATTTCAGACAAAGACATAAAGGCCGAAGTTGTGAGTGGTATGCTCAAGTTCATAGAGTTGCTGAACACAGGGACAGCAAATCCAGGCTTAGGCAAGTCCAAAGTCTTCACTTCTCTCGCCTGGAATTGTGGTATAATTTACAAAGAAACTACCCACACCTAAAGTGTACTGTCTGGTAAATTTCAACATGTATCTGTCCATAAAAACATCACAATCAAGATAACAAATAGGACCGGCATCCTGCTCATATATCTCCCTTGCCCTTGGTAAATCTGTCCCTCCCACCCCTCCACGCAAGCTTTACCTTCCCGGGCAGCTGCTAAGCTGTTCTCCTAGAGTGGATTAGTTTGTGTTTCTACCACAGTTTGCTGGGCATGGTGGTGATACCTACCTGTAGTCCCAGAACTTAGGAGGTTGTAAGAGTTTGAGGCTGGCCCAGGGGCTATATCATACCAGCCGTCACCAATGCTAGAGTGATACCCGTATCAAGAAACAAAGTAAGCGGTTATAATTCTACACAAAAAGAACAACCCAGTTTCACTCACTCATGGGATCAAGCTGCTCACGGCACCATAAGGCCAATAATCTTTTAATTGCCAGTCACTCTTTGTGTGGATGAATCAGTGCACTTAGGTGTTTGTGCATTTGTGGATATATTGTGTTGTTTCCCTTGGGGAATGCTTACAAGCAGACTAGGTGGTGGACCCTATGGTTTGGATGTGAAATGTACCCTGTAGGGTCACGTGTCTGAACACTTGGTCCTAAGCTTTTGTAGCACTGGAAGATTATGAAAACTTCAGGGTTAGAATCTCACTGGAAGAAGTAAGCCACCGAAGGTAGGCTCCGAGGTGTTCTAGCCTCCTGTTCACTCTGTTTCTTTAGCACAGATGCAGAATGTCCAGCTGACTTCTTCCTCCTGCCGTGTCTTCTGCAATGATGGGTTGTAGTTCTCTGGAAGCCAGAATAAGCCATTTCTTCCTTAAGTTGCATTTTTCAGAGTACTTTTTTTTTTTTTTTAGAGTAACTAACTAAGATGAAAGCTGGTACCAGGAGTGGGGTGATGCCCATCACAATGGGAAGTCAGGAAGCAGGAGCTCAAGCCAGCTGGTCACAGTACACACACAGTCAGGAAGAAGAAGGAGATGAATACTGTGCCTTGCTCATGCTTTCCTTTGAATAGTCCAGGATCTCATCCCAGAGATTGGTGCTACCCAGAGTGGGTTACTCTTCTCATCTCTGTGAACCGGATCAGGATAATCCTCCACAGACAACAGAAACCCATCTGCCCGGCTCTTCTGGTTTCTTCAGATTGACAGTTAAGACTGACCGTTACAGTTTTGGTCAAAGTATTTAATCACGGCCACTGGAAAAGAAGCTGTCACGGCAGACTTTGGCTTTTGGCTTTTGGATTTTAAGGAAACTCCCCGGTTGTCTCTCGGAGACACTTTATCGCTGTTTTCCGTGTGTGATGTGCACGAGTCCCAGTCGCTCCACACCGTTTACCAGCACGTGCCACACACAGTCCTTTCAATTACAGCTGTTCTGATAGTTGTTTGGTGGCCGTATCGTTGTATATGGTTACATTTTGTTTTATGTATATGGGTATTTTGCCTGCATTTATGTCTGTGTACCATGCATGTGCCTGGTGCATGAGGAGGTCAGAAAAAGGCATCAGAGACTCTGGAACTAGAGTTACAGATGCTTGTGAACCTCTATGTAGGTGCTGGGAACCAAAATCTGGTCCTCTGCAAGAGGATGTCAAGTGATTTTAAGTGCCTATACATCTCTCCCATCCCTTTGTGTAGTTTTAATCTATGCTTTTCTTATTAGTAACATCTTCGCCATCTTTAAGGTTTTCAAATAGCGTTTGTTTAAGTGACTCGCCTGGTATTTGAACGTTGGGTTGCTTTTGGCATTCTTTATCCTAGAAAGAACCTCCGTGAGATCTATTCTTTGCCAGTGTTCTCGTCTGGCTTGTCACCTCTCTTTCTGTTCATGCTTTAGTACCGATCAGAAGCCTCTATCCCGAGTCCCAGTGTATCTATATATAAACTTTGACTTTTCATGGACAATGCTTTCAGTGGAGCGGCTGAGAAATCACTGTCTGGTCACAGAGCTCCGCACTGGTTTGAGTTTTATTCTTTGACCCTCAGTTTCTACACAGGTGTAAGATGCAGGTTGAAGGTCATTTTTCTTAGTGTGGATCTCTGGGAGGTTCAGCTGGTGTGTCTTTGGACCTTTGATGCAAGTCAGTGTCTCATGTATATGTGACTGTTGACAGCCTTTGTTGGGTCCTATTGGTGCGCTGGTCAGTTTTGAGGATTTGTGTCAGTTGGCACATTGCTTTGATGATGCTAGTACTCTTGCTTTTTTTTTTCCTGCTGTTTGTCTTTGTGCATGTCTATATGTACCTGTGTGGGTTTGTGTGTGCAGGTACGCCGATGTGTGCAGGGACCTATGCACATGTTTACATGTCTGAGGCGGCCAGAAGACAGCTTTGGCTGCTGTTCCTCAAGTGCCGTCCGCTTTGCTTTTATTCTTTGAGACAGGGTCTCATTGGCCTTGGTCTCACCACGTAGGCTAGGCGGGGATTTGGCTGCTTCTGACTCCACAGTGCACTGCCCAAGCTGTCTCTTTTCACACCGGTTCTGGAAACTAAACTCTTGCTCTTACACTCAAAATGCAGGCACTTCGCTAACTGGATCATCTCCCTAGTGCCCATTGTTACTCTGAGAGCAAGAGGATCTCCTCCCACTGCCCAGGAGGGACTCTCCAGTTCCACTCCTCTCTCTTGTCCCTCGCTTTCCCATCGGAGAAGCGGAGAAGCAGCCATGGCATCCAGCTAACCTTGTGTTAGGGCTTCTGTCCTACCCTGAAGAGGCAGTGTGGCCACTTCTCTTATCTTTGGGGGATTTAGTAGCTTTGGAAGAAAGTGAGGGGAGCCGAGGGTTTTTCTGTCTCCACCTACTACTAACCATTCTTTTGTTCCCTCTTCTTCAACAGGGGCTCAGCCTCCGTGCCTAGGGCTGTCTTAGAGAATAACTGTAGTCACCAGTAACACTGAGAGGAGTTCTCCCCAGTCAGTGCTCTGTAAAGTGCTTCCTAGTAGGTGAGGGGAGACTGTCCCCATCTTACAGATGGGGAAGTTGAGGGTCTTAGTACCCAGGCATAGTCAGGAGCATAGCCACATCTTTGGGTCTTATGATTTCACATCTGGCTGCCTTTCTCCTGTGCCTCAAGGAGTAGTTTCTGGCTGTCCTCTGTTCCGGCTCTGTAATTACTGTTTTCAGCTGTAGGGGCTCCTTGGTCTGGGCCTCATGGGAGGGAGGTAATTACATCCTTCCACACACCCTTAGTCAGCAGCTCTCAGTCACTGTGACCAAGCCTAGCACTGACCTTTGTCCCTCCCTATTCCAAGCCAGTGGCTTGGAGATTGTTTGGACCCTGGTTGGCTCTGGTTGACACATCTGGCCAGCCCAGCCCCTCTCTTATAAAGTACTCATAAAATCTGTTGAAATCAGACCCATAGGTGTCCTGGGGATAGAGAGACAGCTTGCAATGGCTCTCTGCTAACCTGGCCCAGCTACTAGAAACACCATGCCCCCAACCCGGGGCTCCTAGGACAGCCTTCCTGTGAAAAGGGCAACCCTACCTCTCTTCCACTATACTCGACACCCCACTGCCTCCCAACCCGTGGGCCACACGCAACCAGACTCATCGTAGGGCCTGTCGTTTTCACACGTGTGCATGTACACAGTCCACTAAACATCTCAGAAACTGTTTACCGCTTTTAGACATGAGCAGGACTCCCCGCCAGGTCAACTCTCCTGGCCATTCGGCCTCTTCTTGTAGTCTTATACTCAGCTTCCACTCTGTCCAGCGGTCACCTCTATGGGGCCAGACTGATGTCATGTGTATCTGCTTGGGATTGTTTAAGGGAGGTCTCTTTCCTTGGGAGCTGCTACTCTGAGAACTCTGGGGCTTATTGGGTGCAAGACCTCTCTTCCAGCCTAGGAAGCCTCAGCCTCCCTCAGTGAGCCTCCTTGTTTCTCTTGGGAGCTAGGACCCTGTCCAGCAAGAACAGTGAACGGTGGTGCTCAGATGTCCTGGTCCCCTGTGTCTTGGGGGAGAAATGAATTTGAGAGTGTCTGCCAGCAACCTTGAACTCCCCAGGAGCTGCTGGGGGCTGGACTTAGGAGCCGGTAATCCAGATCTACTTAACTGACACACCTTCTGTCCCTTCTTTGCCATGGCAGGTCACTGGATGGGCGGTTGCAGGTGTCCCATCGGAAGGGGCTCCCTCATGTTATCTACTGCCGCCTGTGGCGATGGCCTGACCTGCACAGCCACCATGAGTTACGGGCCATGGAGCTCTGTGAGTTCGCCTTCAACATGAAGAAGGATGAAGTGTGTGTAAACCCTTACCACTATCAGAGAGTAGAGACACCAGGTATGTGAGAGTGGCCTTGTCCTCCCCCTTGGAGTGTCTCAGATGCCCTTGGGGGGCTGGGGCCTCAGTGCACTGACACTCATCTCCCTCTGTTGTGTCTCCCCTGGGGACAGTTCTACCTCCAGTGTTGGTGCCGCGCCACACCGAGATCCCGGCTGAGTTCCCCCCGCTGGATGACTACAGCCATTCCATCCCCGAGAACACTAACTTCCCCGCTGGCATTGAGCCCCAGAGCAATATTCCAGGTAGGCACGGGTGCTGCCGTTTTCCCATCTTCTCCATAGTGTGGGCATACAGCAGGCTCTTGGGCCCTGATTCTGAACCGCATCCCTGCCGGGAATGATCGGTGGCTGGAGCTCCCCTAACGATGTTTTTCTTGGCACGGAGGACCCTGTGACCCTTCTGCAGGGCCTCAGTGCCGTCATTTATTTTGAAAGCGGAAATAGCAACACTGTGTCTCTCCTCGCCCTCCCAGCCCATAAGGCTGGCACACAGGCAGGGTCCCCGAAGGGTAGGGGCTGCAGAGGGTGAGATGAAGCAGCGGGGGGCCCTGTACATACCTTGTGCTTTGGACTGGGCAGAGTGGGAGCTGAGGCAGTAAATAGAATGTGCTCCATTGTTAGAGTGCCAGTGTTTCTAGAAGCCCCTCATTTACATGTAAATAATATGTGAATCACTGCCAAGCACTCTGGGTATCCAGGGAAGCTGTGCTTGGCCACGCTAGGGCCAGTCAGGGCAACTTTTGCTTTTGGGGCAATGATCCAGCTGTGTTCCTTTTAGAGTGTTCTAATTTGGATGTGGCTTTCACTCTGGGTTGGTTTACTGGACTGAAGTTGGCTGTGGCCTGTGTCTTAGGTCAGAACGCATGCAAGCAGAGGCCAGCTGTCTGGCTTCTCAGATCCTTGCAGGTAGCACTGGTCTCCGGGGGGGTAAGTTGTCCATTCCCTGTCAGATGGCAGACCGTGGAGGGCTAAGACAGGGTGGGAAGGCAAGGCGGAGGAGTTCCCAGAAAGAGATCACTGAGGGAGCCACCACTGAATGGCACTCTCGCTGGGGAGTTAAGCCACGTCCCCTAAGACAGCAGGGACCAGCCAATATGCCCAGGGACAGGCTCAAGGCCACAGCTCCTCAGGGGACAGAGATGGCAAAGTAGGCACGTCCTAAAGCATCCCTTCTCAACCTGACTTTGAAGGACAGCAACAAGTCAGTTAAGTTATGGTCCTAGAGCAAAGGATTTCAGAGAGCCAGTGTGTTAGGATCCAGGTTGGGAGGCAGAGGTGGACAGGCCTGAGCATGGCAGAGTCCAGGAGCTGACACTTTTTCCCTTGAGGCTCAGCTTTCTTCTAGGTGCTCAAAGGAGGAACAAATGCATTATATATTGGCTACCAAATGTAGTGCCAGAGCCTGGTCTTGCATTCATTTTAATAGAACTGCCTGCCTTTTTATCCCCTAGAAACCCCACCTCCTGGCTACCTGAGTGAAGATGGAGAAACCAGTGACCACCAGATGAACCACAGCATGGATGCAGGTCAGTAGTGTGAGTGATGCCTGCCGCCTTGTCCCTCCCTTCTGCTTGGCTGCTTTCTCCCTCTCTAGTGTCTACAGAGTAGCGCCCCTCGTGTGCCTTGTACGTCCCTGGTGAAAGATACTCTGAAGTAGGAACACAAAGTAGTTTTACTGACAGTAGTCTATCCCAGATGTTCAGGTGTTAGCCCACTGGGGGGGGGGGGGTGCTGGCAGAAGGTGTGTGAAGTGGGCTCGAACACTTGAAGCAGTGCAGGAGGGCAGTGAGGAGAACATGGATGAAGGAACAGCCTTTTCTGGTGGCCAGCAAAGATTCTTTAAAAAAAAAAAACTGTCTATCTATCTATCTATCTATCTATCTACCTATCTATCGTCTGTCTTTATATAGTGGCCAAATTCGATCAGTGTGTCTCTGCTGGGAAGGACAGAGCTAGTTCTCTCCTGCTCTTGTTATGTTCCCAGATGTTTCCCATGTCATATGTTATGGGACCAAATTGGTTCCAAACCAGCAGCTTCTTGAACAGAGCCCCAGCTGCCACATGGGACCTGTTCTGCATTGCATAGTGGGTGAGGAGGGAGTAAGGAGCCCAGCAGCTGTTCCCTTCCCACAATGGTGGGCTGCCTCACGCTGGCACTGCAAGAGGTTGCACAATCCTCAGAAGGGTGAAAAGGGATCACATGTGTGCTAGTCACTGGGGTGTTATACTTTTCGGTCAAGCGCACTCCCCCAAAACACACCCACCCACCCATCCAGGCATGTGGCTGGCAGCACAGACCCAGCTGGAATGCATGGACGACCTTCCTGTGCTCTGTGCCAAGTGACCGCTGCAGACTTGCAGCAACAGAGGGCTGGCACGGGAAGTGAGCCATCTAGGCAGCCTCCCTCCAGCTCCAGGGCTTCTCACCAGCCTGCTTCCTCCCCCCTCCCTTCTCTGTGAGTAGAATGACTGTTAGAAGTAGCCATAATAAGAATGGCTTGTGTGTGGGAAGGGCCAGCCACGAATGCTCTCTCTCGCTCCAATCTGCTTGTTCCCTCTGCTTTCTTTTGTCTCATTATGCTCTGTTTCCTCTCCTGTTCCCACTTTCTCTGCAAGGCTCTGTGGGGTGGAGGGGGGGCAGGATTTGTGTACTCAGCCAACCTAGGCACGAGTGAGTGAACGTCTTTCTCTGTTCTTTGTTTTTCTTCCAAGTAACCCATTTGGCTCCTAGTCCAGTTGCTCATGGGTTTGGCTTTCCTACCAGGTGAGATGTGGAGGTGCCTCTGGTTAGAGGGTTACCCAGGTCGCCCTCTGGTCTCCCCTGGCAGCACATGTGCCCTTTCGACTAACCTTAGACCTTCATGATTTGAGCCACCACAAAATAGGAAACAAACAATGAGTGAATGCTTTCTGTATGCCAATCCTGGCATTAGAGTGGTTTGTGTTTGTTTATTTTTAATGTAACCATCTTACTTAATTTATACAGGTCAATAGATGATAATGTCTCTACTTTGTACTGGGGGGGCGGGGATTAAAGCCCAGTAATGTTAATATAGTTTTACCGAAACCGCAGCCAAAGTCATGGCTGATATGCATATGCAGCAAGCTGTCGGAGCCCCGTTATGGCCTCTGAAATTGGTCTTTATCTCCACAGAGTCAGGTGCTATCACAGGGAAGAAGAGGAAGCCTGTGACCCATTCTTGGCCCTTTCAGAGCTCAGAGCTCTGTTGGGATGAAATAAAAGAGCCCTAGGGACAGCTCAAGGCAGCTTCAGGGCTCAGCCTCAAGGTCTGGTGGATGTCAGGGGGTGGGGCGAGGCTGTAAGACATTCATAAATAACTAACTATGCTCCAAAGCCCATGGGCCTTTGGAAAGGCAGACCTGATATCTCCCCCCTCCCCCGTCACACACACACACACACACACACACACATTTTCTTGGTAGCTAGGGGTAGAGAGAAGATCAGAGCATGAATTGGGTAGAATTAGACTTCCCCACGTGCCCTCTTCTGCCGTGTACAAAGGATCAAAATCAGTTGCAGAGTTGAAGGAGTTCTGAGGCATATCTGTGAGTTTTCCTGAAGCGATTTCCAGGTACCTGAGAGCCAGACTGAGTCGGGCAGTGTGGGAGGAACGGAGGCTACCCTCCAGAGCACAGGGCCATGCGGTGCAGGACCAGGTCCCTGTCTTTTCATTTCCTCGGGAAATAGTCAGTCTTCCCTGAGGGCAGGTGTGTGAGCTGGCCTAGCTGGGCCCACCTCGGCCTGCTAGAGCTTTGCTTAGGTGCTAAGGTGGTAGGTGGTTGAGTCACCTCTAAAGCTACCTACTCAATCTGTCTATTCCACAGATAGGGCCCCAACACACCTAGATATGTAGTGGGGAGCTCATGAGGCTAGCCCCAAGCTCCTGAGACTCAAGGCTTGGTCTAGGGTTTCCTCGTGGCATGGAAAGCGATCCTGGCTTGATTGTGGAGTATTCCAACAATGTCTTACAACTGTGTCTCACCTTGCAGGTTCTCCAAACCTCTCCCCAAATCCGATGTCCCCCGCACACAATAACTTGGGTGAGTAACCATTCATCCTTAAGGCAGAGAGTGCCTCACTCCTGGCTGTAACTCAACTGATTGCCTCAGTGAGAAGGGACAGTGGTGAGCCCTGCCTCCTCCTTCACTATCAGCCGAGCTCAACCCACGGCGGCGGCGTTTCTGGTTACAGTGATCCTTAGGTCACCTCAGAACAGGGAAACCTGAGATCAGTGGCCTGTAGGAGAGACAGTCTATGCTGAGGTTCGTATTTCCTCTGGGAAGCGGACAGACGTGAGTGAACGAAAATCTCCCAGACCTCAGACCCAGGAGACAGGGCCCTTGGTCAGCCAAACACACGTGTGTGGCTCAGGGCAAAGCCACAGGCAGCTGCCCAGACTCGGCGCCCAGCTCTCGGAAGCTTGTCTCAGACACACATTGGTATTTCAGCTGAGTATGTCATTTCATAATAACTTGTTATTAAAACAGCAACACAGAAGGAATCTGGGGAGAAAGCAACGTGCCCACAATCGCACTGCCTAGCACAACTGTTTTATCGTGGTCTGTCTGGTGCCCTGTGAGGGCAGTGTATACATGTGCTCCATGCCACTGAAACCATGGCCTGTCTGCCTTTCCCATTCTGCCTCTGTTCCTCTGAAAAGGTTTCTCCATTTGGATGTTTTGATTATTACTGTGTTATCTCACAGTGTTTCTATCAGCTGACCCCACTGTTCCCACAACATGTTCAGCTGTTGAACTGCAGGTCAGTCAGTGTTCTGAGGGTCACCCTGCCAGCCTGCTAGTGTCCCTCCAGCGTGGGAGAGGGAGGCTTTGCAGGAGTCCTTGGAGCTAGAATCAGCAGAAGGACTCAAAACAGATGAGATGTCCATGTTTTTATCAAAGGTAGCTTTTGCTTTTCTGGTTTATAGTTTGGAAAAAAAAAAAAAAACTAAGTTTGGATTCACGGGCTTGGGAGTGTGGGGTTAAGACTAGCACTTGCTTTTCAGATCAGGAAAAGAAGCCAGTCGTGGTGAAACACTTTGGAGCAGCATACACTGGACAGGCTGTGGTGCCCGTTTGTTTTAAGACCTTGGCAGATATCAGATAAAACTCATCACCTAGAATATTGGGAGACAGATGAAGAGCCTTTGAAATTTGCCGACGTGTAGGTGGAACAAAACATGACTTTGAGATACAGTTTAAATCTTTGTAGCATGAGACTGAGGGGCTTGGCTGAGGGAAGGCCACATCCCTGATAGCAGAGGGACTGAGTTATTGAAAACAAACTGAGACTAGAAGCCATTAAAGGCCTATTGAGAGCTTGACTCTGGGCTTCCCGCTTTGGGATTGCTTTAGATTTATTTTTTTAGAACCATTTCACCCCCACTGTGACCAGGCAGGTATCACCGTGCTGGCTACTTATCTTTGAAGCCAATCACGGTCACAGGCCAGTCTGAAGGTGGTGGCAGTGGCCTTGGGTCAGAATTCTCTGCTAAGGATTCCTCACAGGATGCGTTCAACCCTCAGACCTGGGGAGAAGGCTGGGAGGGGGAATGAACAAAAAGCAGGGTGGGGACAGGGTATTTCCTGGGGTCTCTTCAGGGTACCCCACGGGCTGCTCTTCATAGCCATGGGCAGAAGCGTGGTAGCTTTCATGTCGCATGTCAGAAAATTAGGTGGATTGGAGAGCCTCTGTACTCAGCTGTACAGACAGCTGCCAACCGAGAAACTGGCTTTGTATTTCAGCTTCCTCGATCCAAACAGTGTATGTATAGATGTGAGGGCAGAATCCATACGGTGCATAGAGCCATGCTGAGGAGAATACATAGACCTTCAGAGCCTGCTCACATCTGTGTTCACCTGTGGTGCTGAGGAAGTGAGCCTAGAGGAGGGGGTTGTGTGCCTCCATCATTGAGGGAAATCAGGACAAGAACTCAAAACCTGGAGGCAGGAGCTGATGCAGAGACCATGGAAGGGTGCTGTTTACTGGCTTGCTCCTCATGGCTTGCTCAGCCTGCTTTCTCATAGAACCCAGGACAACCAGCCCAGGGATGACCTCACCCACAATGGGATCGCTAATTAAGAAAATGTCCTACTGGGTTGTCCATAGCCTGATCTTACAGAAGCATTTTTCTCAGCCAAGGTTTGCCTGCTCTCAGATGACTAGCTTGTTGAGTTGATATACAACTAGCCAGTACAGTGCTTTCGAGAAAAAGGGTGAGGGTATCTCAGAATTACAGATGTGCCTTCTAAAGATCTCATCATATAATTATTTTGCAAAAAGAAAGTGTACAACATCCAGTTACTTCTTTCATTTCTTTCCTGCTCCAGGCCTCAGTTTGGGTCTAGGGAAAGATGAACTTCCTGCCACTAGGAAGCCACTTCTCCAGAGCAGTGGTGCAGAGACCTGGGTGATGAGGCCCAAAGGCATGGGCACGGTGCAGAGGCTGGCCCTGGGGAACCCCTGACTCTATTGTTTCTCAGAGCAGGGGCTGTGAGCTGGGCATGTTTCTACCACACATCATGCTGGGTGGGTCACCTGGAACTTTCTAAGGGTCTAAGTCAGAAAGGTTGAGGAAAACAGGAAGGAAGCATCAGGCTAGGGAAAGGTGACAGTTGGATCAGTTGGATCCCTCTGCTGAGTAAGTTGTTCCCTGCTTCACAGTGACACATGTAGGGTGTGGCTGGAATGAAACCGAGGTCCTCCTAAGAGCCCTGGGGCAGCACAGAGCTGGAGCCTACTTATAGCTTCCTGGAGTGCCTATGGCAGGGTGAGCCGCCTTCTGCTGGGAGAGGACAGGGCTGGGTGGTAGGAGCGATGAAAAGCTCCTGAAATGAAGAGAAGCCAGCTGGCTCCATGCTGCCCAAGACAGGTACTTCTTAAAGGCCATCTGTAGCTGCAGCCTTCTGTGGGCTTTTGAGAACACATGCAGGTGCTTAGGAAAGTGGCTCACTGGGTACAGCCATGCAAGCCTGAAGACCTGAATACAGATCCTAAGAACCCATGCAGTGCCAGATGTGGTAGCATTCTACAGGAAGATGGGGGGCAGAGACTGGAGACTCCCTGGAAACCCATAGACTAGCTGAGCAGAAGACCCTGACTCAAACAAGGTGGAAAGTGGGAACTGACACCTGAGGTGCTCCCCAAGGCACATGCATATCACACACACACACACACGTTTTCCTGATTTAGTAAACTGGTCTGGGACTTCAGGAGCTTGCCTTCATTCCTCTGCATGCCTTAGCTCTCTGCCTTAAGCCCAGAGGCTAGAATTAGGACCCGGAGGCTGGGGTTAGAGAGGGCCAACCCCTGTAGCACATGAGAAAGTGCCCACATGGCTAGGCATGAAAGTTCTTTGCATGAGGGAATGTCTTATGTCACCTGTATTGGGCCTTGCTGGGAAGAGTCATATAGATGGGGAAGGACACTCCATTGAAAGGGAACACCAAGGGAGAGACAGATGGAGGGGATATGGAGTTGGGGGGGGGGTGGAATCCTTAAGATGGAGACAGACCTGCTCTCCATGGGTGGGGAGGGCCCAGACTAGCCAGGCTTCTCTGCTGTGACCTCAAGTCCTGTGGTACCCACTACGTAGACCTTTGCCCATCGCCCGCTTCAGTTCAGGAGAAAGTTGATGTGCCCCTGTCCTCCCCTCTGCTTCTGCCAACTGGAATATTTTGCACATGTTTTTAATAGGCACCCTTTAATCCGAATGTCGCCTTCTGGGTTTTATTCTGTTTTCCTTTCCTTAAACAAAACAGAGAGTCTGTGCCAGCTTGGAACGGGGCTTGGAACTGAAGCCAGCCAATGCGTTAGGCTGGCCTGAGGCCAGCGGAGAATTGAGTGCCCCTGCCTGACACCATGCTGATGGAGGTGGGGGCTCTGATGGTCGGTGCTGCGGGCTTCATGTCTCTGGCATTTTTGTTCTGGGAGGATAGTAGCAGGGACTGGGCAGGCTGGTAGGGACTGGGCTGTGTGGAGTTAAGGTCTTCTCTAACACCTCAGGTGATGGAAGCCTTGGTCAACAGAACGAACCCATGCTCCTTGGATTATCAGCCAATCAGCCAATGACGTCTCACTGCCAGAGGAGCCTTTGAGCAGCAGGTCTTCAGGGCCTGTGTTGACTGCGACAGCATTTGTTGGGAAACTCTGAAACCTGGGGTGTGCTCACTCCAGGGAATGACAAGGTGGCTGGAGCAGCTAAGCCCATGTTGGCTGGATCTCGAAGCACACTTTGTTCAAACCTTAGTAGATCAGAAAGCAGAGAATGGAACCAGAACTCAGGGAAGGTTGTAACCCTCAAGGCCTGCTTCCAGGGACCAACATCTGCCAGCTTGGCCTTGTGTCACAGAGGTTTCATAACCTCTTTAAACAGTACCACCAGCTGGGGACCAAGTGTTCAAACCTAAGAGCCTATAGGATGCATTGCAGGCCCAAACCATAACAACTTTGGCCCCTTTCTGTTTGATCTTTTTAGGAAGCTCAGAGTCAAGCTGTCAGTATCTGCTACCACATACTTACACCAGTGATAGTTCTTTTCTCTCCGGAGTCCTGACTTTTGCAAGAAAAGAATTGCATGTGGGGAAGCGGGTAGGGCTACCACTGCAGGAAGAAATAGTAATTCTACTTTTTTTTTTTTTTTTTGCTTTGTACATGCTATGGCTGAGGTGCCTGAAGGAGAGAAGAGGAGAGGAGAGGAGAGGAGAGGAGAGGAGAGGAGAGAGAGAGAGAGAGAGAACTCAAAGACATAGCCATGTGCAGCAAATTAAAGGCCATACAGGGGGCTATCCTCTTCTGCCTATTTCTGAGCCAGAGTTGACGGGTACCCTCTGAAGTGGCAGACTTCAAATTGCGCCCTGGTGCCATGAGCTGCTGTGAGTTCTGATGGCATGTCCATCTGAGCCCAGTCTCCCTCCTGTGCTGCTCAGGGTGCCTGGAGAATCACAGAGGTGTTTGGAGGAGGCTCCATATCTCCTTGGGAAGGCCTTTTTCTACCCTGTAGCTCACCTTTCCCAGAATAGCGTTCCTTCAGGTGTGAGAGACACTCTGGGTGGCCTGCCACCTTTGTTTAGATTGGTAGGTATCAGTGTTCCTGGAACTAGACCCATGAAATTCTAGGCAGGACTTTGAAATTTGGGGACGAGGGCTGGGCAGTGGTGGTGCATACCTTTAATCCCAGCACTTGGGAGGCAGAGGCAGGCGGATTTCTGAGTTCGAGGCGAGCCTGGTCTACAGAGTGAGTTCCAGGACAGCCAGGGCTACACAGAGAAACCCTGGGAAAGGGAGATGAATGTGCTATCCCCATTACTGAGGAGGGCAGGGCTGACCTGGATCAGTCAAAGGTGCCTCTTCAGATTGACACGTGCCAGAAACACCATGGCTGAGATGGCCAGCTTTAGCTGTCTTCTAGAACCAGTCTTGACACAGAATAGGAAACAGACCAGATCACGTCCTCAAGGACACACACACTTCAAGGTCAGTAGAGCCTGTACCTGGGCAGTAGCAGCTAGTGGCGCTGACAGGTTACCTGAACACTTTAAACCTTGGCTAGCCCTGGGCTTTTCTTTTTTCTTTTTTTAAACAAAACAAAACAAAAAACCCAAAGTGTCCAAAGCAACATAGCTCACATTCTAGTGGCCGCATTGTTTAGAATCTAGCTTATCTCACTGGAATGTGGAAGCATGGAGCAAAGCCAGGGCCGGACATGGGCTGATGTGCCTCAGCCCAGCCTCAGGAGCCAGGGGCACAGGCCACAGCTGCTCCTGTCCCATCACTCCCCTTCTTTATACAGTAGCTTTGATCCTCTGCCTCTGTCTTCCTGGCCTCTTGCTCAACCGTGAGAAGAAAAGGAAGAAAGGGAAGCTTTGTTCTGCTGCATCTGGAAAGTCAAGACAAGATCAGGGAGTTCTCAGGTCCATAGTCAAGGTTATTATCACTGTTGGTACCACATGCTGTTTACTACACGGTCACATCTTACTCCAGTTAGCTCGGGGAATCCACGGATAGCTCCAGAGGCATAGAGGATGCAACATGGGGGCATGGGGTGATTTAGAGGCTGACACAGGGGAACATGAATGAAGTCATGCTGGTTCAACATAAAAGGGCAGTGGCTTTCAGTGGGAGGTACTTCCAACCCCTGGAACACATCTGGCAGTACTAGAAATGGTTTTTATTGTCAGTGCTTGATATAGATAGATAGATAGATAGATACATACATACATACATACACACATACATATGTATACACACACACACACACACATATATATGTATATATGCTGTGAGTATAGGCTGAGGGTACATTTGATCTCCTGTAATATCTAGACCCCCTTTCTCCCAGGCAGTCATTGCCCTACCTTAGGGTGTGCTGACCCTGGAGCTGGCTCTGGCAGTATGTACTGTGTAAAGTGTCAGGATGGGAAGAGGGCTGTGTCCTCAGCTCACTCTTACAAGGACCGTATACCTGGGCTGCAGGAGATCGGGACCACTTTGTCACCAGGGTCTGCCTAGGCCCGTCCCTGTGGGCAACACAGCAGCTGCTGTTCTTTGGCTTGGCCACTTAAGGGACAGTGAACCTGGGTCCCTAGCAGGTCTCCACTTTAAGTTGCCTGGTGGACAGCAGACAGGATTCTCAGGCCAATGCTGGGCCATCCCTATTCCTTTCTCGTCAGAGCTCCATGCAAGGGAGGAGAGAGGACTTCAGGCCCTCACAGTCAAGTTGGATAGTTGGGACACTTACGGATACTACAAAGACACACAAAATCACCGGGTGGCTGTGCAAATATCTGTGAGTCCTTTGGAGTAAGAATCTTAGGTAGATGCTGCAGTGACCATTTAAGTGGGGCAGAGTGGGCTTGAAGCTTCTAAGGGCAGTAGTAGAGCTGCCGTGTGGAGTACTGTTTGGAGGTGGCACAGGGTCCATGCAGTCATGCAGGAGGTTGCCAGATTATGAGATAGGAACAGCCAGGATCCTGCCTGCTGAGGGGACCCTCCCAAGGGGCTGCTGTAGAGTGTGGCATGACCTGCTTCACAGCCAGAGTATGCTTGGAGCTGTTTACAGTGCTTGTTGGTCCTGACCCGTTTTATGTTCCAGATAGCCTTTCTCTGAAGGCTGCTTCTGTTCACAGGAAGGCCAGACACTACTGGGCAGGCTGCCTTTGGGCCCCAAAAGAAATGAACTCAGTGTCTCTTCTTCTATAGGCTGTCAGGGTCTTCCCCAAATTGTGAGGCTCTCCCTCCCTGGCACCCTGGAGGGTTTGTACAATGGACACTGGGAGGTCAGAGGAGGAGTAAGTCTTCCAGAGCCTCCCTGAATACCTCCTGACCCGGAACACCCCGTGTCTCTTCAGACCTTCAGCCAGTCACCTACTGTGAGCCGGCCTTCTGGTGCTCCATCTCCTACTATGAGCTGAACCAGCGAGTTGGGGAGACATTCCACGCCTCACAGCCATCCATGACGGTAGATGGCTTCACTGACCCCTCCAACTCGGAGCGCTTCTGCCTGGGCCTGCTGTCCAACGTCAACCGGAATGCCGCTGTGGAGCTTACGAGGCGGCACATAGGTAACACACCCATCCCCACCCCTGCCTCCTGGGGACACCGAGACTGCCAGCACTGAGAGCTGTAGGACCCAGATGAGAGGAGGTGGGAGCGTGTGGCACGGGAAGGGTCTGCACGGTGTGTAGATGCCTGTCACCTGGTCTCTGCCCACGGGACATTGGTCCTTGAGTTGCTTTCTTGTACTCTGGGCCTCTTCTAAGCATAAGGGGACATCCCCCCGCTGGGCGGAGCTCACTAGGGGACATCCCCCCGCTGGGCGGAGCTCACTAGGGGACATCCCCCCGCTGGGCGGAGCTCACTAGGTGACATCCCCCCTGCCGGGCGGAGCTCTCTGTTCACGTGACCGCTGATGTGCTGAGTCAATTGTAAACGGATTTCTGTCCGGCTGGAGTGGATTTAGGTGATGGAGGGAAAGAGATAAAATGCAGACTGCACTAGGAAACCATGGGAAGGGAGGTCCCTGGGCAATCCCTTCGGCAAGGGGGCCAGGGAGTGCCAGAACCCCAGTAGCAACTTGACCAAGGCACCTCTGTGCCTTGCGGGGTGGGGTTTGGGGGGGACAGGCTAGAGCAGTGGGGTGGCAGTGGGGTTGAACTCTCTGACCTCCACAGGGAGAGGTGTGCGGCTCTACTACATCGGAGGGGAGGTCTTTGCAGAGTGCCTCAGTGACAGCGCTATTTTCGTCCAGTCTCCCAACTGCAATCAGCGCTATGGCTGGCACCCCGCCACTGTCTGCAAGATCCCCCCAGGTAAGCTCTGGAGCGTGCTGCCCTGTGCCATGGCCCCAGAGGCATGCCCGGGAAGTCTTTCTTGCCTTTCCTCCACACTGGGATGTATGTTGTTGACACTGTACCTGTCTGTGTACCACTGACCTCTAGAGAACAGAGGCAGTGTCTAACAAACCTGTAACCCAGGGTACCCTCCATCACCTCTAGGGGTGAGGTGCTGTCTCCCCGTCATTTTTTCTCCAGACGTATGTGTTCTGGATCTATGCCGAGATCTAGATCAGGATGGAGAGGCAGACAGAGCTCCTGTGCCCACAGCTTTACAGGCCTGAAGTGTTTAAGATGGACATAGGGTGGTTGTAACACACCCAGGCTATTAGTCCCCAGCAAGCAGCTCTGATAGGGAGAAATGCCATCTACCTGTGGGGTGATCAGTAAGGTGTCCTGGAGGAGGCAGTAGGTGTCAGGAGATGGTGGGGTGAAGTTTGTGAGGGCATGTGCCAGAAAGGACAGTATAACGAGGGTGGGACACTGGGTGTGTGCTGTCTGGGGGAGCCATGTAAAAGAGAGGGAGATATTTAAAAGGCATCCTGGATTCAGGCCTTGGACTGATGTGAGAAAGTTTTGGGTTTATTCTGGGGAGTTGAAGTTTTTCTGAGGATGTCCCCTGACACCCCCCCCCCAAGAACTGCCAGGCTGGAACTCCCTTACCCCAAAGGCTGAAAGCCAGAGCACTCCTCACACTCCTCAGATAGCACGTGGCCTGTGTCCGGTCATTGCCTGGGACAAGTTGTGGCTCCTCTTCCGGTTTGCTGCTGCTGAGAGGCTGACAGTAGGGTAGTGGGCTGTGAGCGGGGTCAGCCATAGACTGCAGAAAATCCCAGCTGGGAACAGAGCTCTGCTGGGGCAGCTTCTGTGGTTTCATTTACAAAGCGTGTTCACATCTCTCAGCGACCCCTGTGGCTCTAAGAAAGGCTAGTGAGAGAAGTTCTAAGAGTGAGCTGCTTCTCAAAGACCCAGAGCTGGGAGGAAGCCACAGCAGGGCTGTACCACCGGACTCCAGCTGACTCGCCTGTGTCCAGTCTGTTGGCTCAGCTGAGGCTGCAGTCCCAGAGGGGCGTACGGACTGTGTTGTTTTACCCACCTCCTCCGGGAGCAGGCAGGGGCAGAGGTGGGAGCTAGGTGTTATTCCCAGCTTGCTGCCTTACCCCCTCCATCTCCACAGCTGGTAAAGGCTGAACTGGCTCTGGTAGTGTATTGTTAGCTCAGAGACTGTTAGGGTCCTGATGACCAAGCCCAGCTCCCTGCAACCCCCTAAAGGAGATTGAGAGTCAGAAGGAGAAGCAGAATAGAGTCACACAGCAGATAGGGTCTCTGCTGGTCCACTGGCTACTGGGCATGGACTCCGGCCTTTATCTTCTGGGTCATGCAATCCACAATCCTGGCACTTGGGCAACAAGGCTTCAAACGGGTTTATTTTCAGTGTTATTTGTACCTGTTCTCTAGCTGTACTATGGAGAATTTAGATATGCTTTTTTGATGATGTCACCTTGGACCAAGCCTGAATCCAGAGGCCACCATGTTGACCCGACTGTCTTCTCCAGCCCCAGCATGAGATGGGGCTATCAGGTGGAAGGTGACCCACTGCAGAACATCCCTGTTAGAAGGTCCCATGCCCACCTCACTGCCTTATGTCTTACTGCTGTACCAATGCAGGAGCACCTGTCTCCAGCTGGCTACCCCAAGACAGTGGCAGCCAGGCTCAGGTCCCCTGCCTCAGCCTCTCCAGGGCATCCCTTTATCACCCACACCCATCTCCAGGCTTCCTTCTTGGTATCTGGCATCCTGGCAGCTGGAGGTGGCACCTATAGGCCAGCCTGTAGTGTCCCAGACACATGCATCTATCTCCCTGCTACGGGTGTGCAAAGGCCCATCCTTGCGTGGTGATGAGCTCAGAGTAGATGGGCGCTGGGCGGAACCTTAGTGTGCCACTTGAGGTGTGTCAATCAAACCGTTCGGGTGGGTGGTCCCGGGATTGCCTTGTCTGACTCGTCTGTGGTTGGCAGGCTGCAACCTCAAGATCTTCAACAACCAGGAATTCGCCGCCCTCCTGGCTCAGTCTGTCAACCAGGGCTTCGAGGCCGTCTACCAGCTGACTCGAATGTGTACCATCCGAATGAGCTTCGTCAAAGGCTGGGGAGCTGAGTACAGGTCAGCGACTGAGCCGCCTCTGGTGGGCGGTAGAGGGAGCTGGCCCTGGGCAAGGTGTGGCCGCCAAGTATAGCAGCACGGCCTCAGCCTGGTGCTCAGCTCTCGGGCTCCGCCAGCATTTCTAGGACCACTGTGGGGACACTGGCGTGTTTTCTTGTTAGGGATATGACAGCTGACAGCTTAGGGAGAGCCAAGGGCATGCATGGAGTCAGGTGGAGAGGACGGGTTCAGACTCCACCTCTCCTGGCTGCTGCTGTGTCCTCAATTTCCCCTGGGATGGACTCTCAGGATAACTGTCTCCCTGACAAGGAGATTTGAGTGTTTTATACAGAACGGCTAATTTATGTATATATTTCCTTTTATTTAAAAGAATGCCAGTTAGCACTTTAAACGTGGAACCAGTAATATCAAGGTCTACCTGGTCTGCATGGTTGAGGCCCTCAGACTGTCTAGACTAGGTGTAGTGAGAATGCAGTCTCCTTTTCCTGTGCTGGACAGGAGTGGTCTGGGAGGCAGGACCACATGCCCTTCTGCTCCACGCCTCCTCCCCGCCCCTCAGAGTGGAGCTGCACAGAGGTACCCACACGTTAGCTGCAGCCAGTGCCTTGCAAGTTCCTCGCCCCTTTTCTTCTTCATTTTTCCAGATGTTTGGAATCAGTTTTGTTTTGCAGTCATTCTGTACCCCAGCCAAACCCATTTCAATATTGGCTCCAGGCCACCGTTTGTAATGAAACCCCGATGAGCATGACTTATGGAAAGTCAGATTCTCAGCAGAGGACGGAGGTCTGTAAAATCTAACCTCGCCGTCTAGGTTTCAGAGCTGTTGCTCTTTCATGGGTGCCCCATGGTGCCAGTGAGCAAAGCACCCTGGGCCTTTTAATCTGAGATCCAGGGAGGGTCACCAAGCATGCAACCCAATTGCTCAGACTATGGAATAACTCCCAGCTATGCTGTGATGACCCGGCCCAAAGGTCTGGCTGGATGAATGCCGGAGCCAACCTTTTAGCCCAGGATTCAGATCATTTAGGGAATCAGAGTGAAAGGTTAGAAAATTAATTCTTTAATGCAAAAACCCCAAAGGAAAAGAACTGGGAGGCCCACTTGCCCTCGGGCAGATGTCTCAGGCTGAGTGTGAACCTCCCTAACTGTTCAAGCAAAGCATGTGAGGACTGAGAGAAGGTGAGCCCCGGGATGACGGCCCTGAAAGTGGTGCAGCTTTAGGGCCCTCCATCTTCTAATGTTGGCAGAAGCCCCTCTCTAGGGCATGGTATCACCATGGAGGAAACACTGCCAGCACACCCTGTCCTACCCGGCTCAGTGCGTCACTGCTGCCTGGCAGCACAGCACAGCACAGCACAGCAGCCTAGTGGCGGGTGCGGCCCCTTCCCAGAACAGCCATGCCCTCCTGTACTGTGGGCCAAACAGAGTAAGGTTTCAGGCTGGTTCTTTAAAGCAGCTGTAAGCGGGCCTGCAGCCTAGGCCTCACCTCCAGCTGGCACCCGTATGTCGCCACAGCAGATAGCCTTTGCTTGGTGGAGGCTTCTGGGAGCTTGCCTGTGAGCTGCGTCACCAAGCAGTCTGAATTTAGACAAAGTGCTTTGTGGGGGAAAAGAAATGTGTGGTGTGCCTTGGTTTTTCCAGTAATTGTTCCCCGGCTAGCTCTGCTGGTAAGATTTTCCAAAATAAGCTGTAGATGGGATTAAAGCAGCACCCTGGGACTTGAGGCATGTGGGCTCCGTCAGTGCTCTGTAAAAAACGCCCTCCATCAGACACGTCACGATAACTGTGGGGCTGGCCCCAATCTGGAAGGAGGCTGCGGACACCTACCCAGTGGCCAAGCTAGGAACCCAGGAGACCTTTATTTAGGCAGGTTATGTATGGGGGCTTGTCATAGTTCCTGCAAACTGACCTTTAAATCTTTGAGGTCTTTCTCTCTAGCAGAACTCAATTTACACAAAGCCCGACCTGGAAATTTGATCTGGTTCAGCCGCATTACTAGTGCCACCTCTGGGCAGTGTTTACCTATCTAGCACAAAGAGACAGACCTCTGTCTTGGGGTAGCAGAAAGCAGTGTTGTAATTTACTTGTGTCCTTCTGAACGTTTTAAACTCTCTCACCTCTTCTCTCCTTTTTCCAGGAGACAGACAGTGACCAGCACCCCCTGCTGGATTGAGCTACACCTGAATGGGCCCTTGCAGTGGCTTGACAAGGTCCTCACCCAGATGGGTTCCCCCAGCATCCGCTGTTCCAGTGTGTCTTAGAGATACTGGGAGTAAAGGGAAGCAGGGTTGGGGAGGGCGGGCTAGGGGAAAATGTCCTTGGAAGAGAACTCCATCCGACCTGGTCTTGTGAAAGAACACAGGTTCCTCTCCACTAAGGCACCAACCTGTTCCTGAAACCACGGAAGAAAATCCCAGGGATGGATTTTATGAACAGCTGTGTCTGCTGCGTACACGTGCCACAGTTTGAAGGCCAAGTGACGGCTTCTGAGCTGGTGGCTTGAGCTACAGGTGTTGTGTCACCACCTGACTCCTTGTTTAATCACAGAGATGTGGGATGTCACAGTCTAAAAGGAAAGTGCCTTTCTCCAGGGCTGGAGTGGTGAGTTTACCTTTGGAGAAGAACTTTTAATGAAGTGTGCCCTGTCCCACCACTCTCTCAGAGAGGGTGTACCTGATGAACTGGATGGCCTACGTAGGCACTTTCTCCCTACTCCCAGAATGCACAGAGATGGGAACATGTTGGAGGCTAAAGCTGGTGAGAACCGTTTCTTCACTGCCTCTTCTTCCTTGGAAGGACCTGCTGAAGTTTCAGCGTGTATGTGATGTATCGTTCCTATTTTCACATCAGTCTCAAAGAGATTCGGATGTTGTTCAAGTGTTTGCAGGAGTCTTGGAGTACGTGTCCTGGGTGAGGTGGCACCACACTGAGTGAATGCACCTCTGGGAGCTGGCACCACACTCTTGACGTGTGGGCTGTGTTGGTCTAATGGAGACAACTGCATTAATGAATTCCCCTAGCATAGGCTCTCTGAAGTGTCTTCTGTTTGATAAAAACAATCCTGGGTACATATGTTGGCTGGAAACCCAGAGTGGACAGACCCAGCCACTGCTTCTTGCCCTGAGGTTTAGAAGCCAAGAGTTATGGAAGACAATTCACCAGGAGGTAAGACATCCCAGGCTGACATGGGCAAATGAAAAGGGCTATTAATTTTTTTTACACCTTGGAAAATTGCAGGCTTGGTGCAGAGAGCTCTGTCATCTTCACCCTGGGATGTAAGATTACCTAGCTTTGGTAAAGGATTGCCACCGAAAACTGCCACAGTGACACTGTGTAATAAGCACTGTTCCCAGTGGCAATTACAGAGGGAACGAGTATAAATTATTTCAACTGGAAAAAAAAAAGTCCTTTTCCTGGCTGTTTTAGAACAGGGCACACAGGACCGCCACCCGCAACTGGTGTTCTCTTCTTGGCTGCTGTTTGTGTTATGAAATGACGAGCCCATACTTTTGCATGGATTTCCCATGGAAGTCCTGTCCTGTTCCAGAGGGGAAAAAGTGCACCCTCCAATGTGATGAATCTTCTGATGCTCCAGAGACTCTGGGGCGCATCCTGGTGCCTCTTCTCCAGGAGCCTGTGCCCTTAGAAGCTCTGGGCAGGATGTTTCCAGCTAGACAGACTGATCCTTCTTCAGACACAGATGCCTGTGCGAGTCTCTCCCTAGGCTGTTGACACAAGACAATTCTGAACCTCTCAGGTTCTTTGGAAGGGCACAGACCACAGATGTGAACATTTTGCTGGGCTTGAAATGGTCTGTGAACTGCTGCTCCAGACACAGAAGTCCTTGGAACTGCCTGCCTGTCACACATGCTCCGAGTCAGAACACAACAGAGACACTCTGGTGTGGCTTCTAGGGAAACATTCACGGTCCTCTCATCGGCCATGGGCAGAAGTTCGTGTCACTTGCTGCTCAGTTTCCTAGGAGCTTTCTGTGTCCCCTCCCTCAGTCATCCTCCAGGTGGCTATGGTACAGTCCATTCTGCTGCAACTGGAAGGCACTGCTCAGAGCAGATGGCAGCTTCTGGAGGCACATGGTTGGGAGTATGCCCCTTCACTTTATTGGCCAGTCACTCGAGAAATCTGTACGAGAAAAATCCTAGGCAGGTTCTACTCTTGGCATCTCTGAGAGTAAAAAAGGCTTGGAGTCTAGGAAGGACACGCCATCGTGGAGAACACAGGTCCTTTGGGTATGTGTAATCAAAGTGTCCTCCCAAATTAGTTTTCTTTTTTGTGTGAATAGCACCTCTACTTTTAAAGAACAGTTGGGAACCGAGAAAACAGTGCAGAAGCTGGTGTGGCCTTTGAAAAGTGTGGTTCTTTCAGGTGGCCTGACTGCCACATGCTGTTCCAGCCCTGGGCACCTGCTGACATGGACCCACATGGCTAGCACTGGGCACCCCAGAGAAGCTAACTCTGTACACCTCTCTCCTCTACTGCCCCTCCTTCCTTAGTGCTTGTTCAGGTAGCCCCAGCCATGTGGCTTATAGTCCTGTGCTGGCCTGTCATGGCAGCTGGCTACCTTCCAGGCAGCCTGTAGAGAGACCTGGCATTTTGAGGAACGCCTAGAGAGGAGAGCAGGGACTCTCTTAGGAAGGACACAAGGCAGGCAAGGCTGCTGGCAGACTTCTCCACTGACCTGAAAGTGTGTTGTATTTTTTTTTTAACTTGTTAATGTATTGCATCAAGCCTCGGTGCTTATGGGGTACTGTGGTCTTGATCTTCCCCAACTTGCTTCTCAGAGCTGAGATGTATTCTAGAGCCTGATGTTTTTATTCAAACCACAGAAACGCTTTAAGTAGCATGTGCAGTCACGCATGTGCCTGAGTTGCCTGGGGCGGAGGCAAATATCTGACTTCATTCTTAGCCCTAAGCTGCCATTTCTGAGTTTAAGTCCTTGAGAGGCTGGGAAGGCACATGTGCCAGGAGGGACACAGCTCTAGCTCCGCACTGTCCTCTTCCTGTATGACTAGATGTGTGAGCCCTTTACAGTAGAAGGTACCTGGTCAGAGCTCGCTCTTCCGGTCTGTGGCATCCGTGTTCCATTACTGGCCCCTTTAAGTAATGGCCTTCACAGTGCACTGCAACTTCCCAGTGCGTAGAGAGCCACACATCAGGATGTGGCACTGCAGACGGGACACGTCGATGCATGGCTGTCGCCCTCAACAGCTCCTGCAGCTGCTTGTATTAACACAAAAGTGATGTTTAGCATTCTGCCGCTTTCATATTTATGTAACAATTCCTTAAAGCCGTTCAGATGGATAACTATTTAATTTCTTAAAGACAGTTGTAAAGGTCTCTCCTCACGAGGATGGTGACTTGGTAGAACTGGGGCACAGCCAGTCCCAGACACTGGTGGAGGCTGCAGTGGCTTTGTCAGCTCAGGATCCACAGGCATCGGGATAGGCTGGGCGGACAAGTGGTGGCGTGTGCAAACAGGCTGTCCCGGTCGAGCCCAGGCCTTCAACAACATGTCCGCTTCAACAAGGCCCCTCTCTTCTGGAAGTGGAAGCTTCACATGGAAATTGGAGCCATCTTTTATCCCAGAAGCCTTTGCTGCTGCTAGGGCAAGTGGGCTGGTGTGGACTCTTGTTTGGGGATGTTTGGAGACGGAGGTTGCTGTCACTCCTTAGCCAGCCAGGCCTTTAGTATCTTTGTAAAAAGCATGTATTTATAGTGTTTTAGATTTTTCTAACTTTTGTATCTTACAGCATTGTACCCCACTGTTAAAGAGCCGTGTCCCCTCTTCTTATAAGCGCCCTTCTAATAAACTTTTCACTGTAAAGCTCCTGAGCCAGAAGCACGCGGTCTGATTCCCTGCTGCTGTCTTTGGGTAGAGGGATTTAAAAGAGAACCCCAGCAAGGTCCTGGGGGCTTCAAAGCTCAGCAGGCGCTAATACCACAACACTGGGCCTGACCCCCACTGCCACTGTCCTACAGTAATACTCACCCTTGCTTCCTTACCAAAGGGCACCCCACAGGAGGCCCTGGGTTCTCCAGATATGGTGCCAGTCATAGATACACTCTGGAACCCATTGTCCATTACCCCTGCCTCCTGCCCCACCTCCACTGGGCTCCCCTCCCAGTCCTCTGCTGTACTGTCTCTGTCTTCCATGCCACTCTATCTTTCCAGAGACGCCGAAAAATTACAAGTAGCGCCATTCTGTGATGCCATTGTGAATTCAAAACGAGCTGCTATCCTGACTGAAGTGTCTATCAACCTCAGATGTGGATGGAGATGACCAAAATACCGCCTTCCTCACCATTCAGCCCCTGCTCTCCGCAGCTTCTCCCCGAGCCCAGCAGCTCCGTGTGTTTCTCTTCCCTGACCCCTCACCATGCGGAGGCTCTAGTTGAGCAAACTGCCGCTTTGGAAAGACCCTACCCTGGGAGGCTTCCTAGTTCTTCTTGGATCGGCCTTTCTTCCTGAGCTCACATCTCCTTTATGGTCTGGTGTTCCCAGATCACAAGTATCCTCTTAACAGTCCTTCATAATGAATTGTCAGCCCTCAGGGTTTCTAGCCACACAAATGCTAGTGACTCCTGTATCAGCCCTGAGCTTCCAACTCAGGGACAGAGGCCTGCTGGCCCACCAGTTGCCCATGTTCACAGTCAGAAGACCTAATTACAGAAATTACCATTCCTGTACAGAACTGGACTAGTAGAGGCCATCTTTATCCATGGCTTCCCACCGCCAGTCTCTGCTCTCTCCGTACCACCATGGTGGCTGCTTCAATGCCTCGACCCTGCCACAGCACCATCCTGGTCTCCAGCCTGCTCTCCTCATGGTCCACACAGCCCGTGTCAGCCATAACTGTCTCTATAGAGATACCTCAAAGAATAAGCTTTGTTTTGGCTCTTCATCTTAGACCTTTTGGCCCAAGGTCATTTGTGGGCCTGTAATGAGAGGTAGGGGAGAAAGCAGGGGCAGGGCCCCACTGATTGTGTGGTCAGGCCTGTCTCAAAAGTTCCTGCAGCTCCCAATAGTGCCATGAGCCGAGGACAGCCTTTAACACATGGGATCCCCTTGTGAGGGGTCAGGGAAAGAAACATGGGTGGATCTCAAAGCCAGACAACACTGCCCCCAGCCAAGATTCCGATGTCATCTATGGAAGCCCTGGCCTTCCTCACTGCCTTTCTCTCCACAGTGCAGCAGTGGTGGGGACTGCCATCCTCTGCATGCCTGCCTGTGTTCCTTCTCCTCACACCTTCTACCCTAGGCTTGCGGCCACCTCTGTGCCAGTGCTTGGCAGGGTTAGTGTTGAGTCCACACAGACAATCTTCAGTGCAGTGCTGATCAGATATGCATGGACAAGGTTGCTGCTAAGAGAACTTCCTGGAACGGGTGAAGACCCTTTCTGCCTGTAGCATCTCAGTCCCTTGGGACAGGCAGACTCGTCTCCGCCATTTTTCTGATGGGGACTGTCCTGGGACTTGCAAGCATATTTGTTTCATGTCATGACTTACCTTGAGAATTTTCACATCTCCACTTACCTATGTACACAAACTCTTTATTGCTTTTATCTGGAGTCCAGCATGACTTCCCCATGATTCTCAAAGCACGTCCCAGGAGTGTCAGGATCACCCAGGACTTATCAGATATGGGATGAAACCTGTTCTGAGTTGGACTCACATTTGGAAACAACTGTGGTGTAAGCTGGCTGCAACTGTCTTTCCATTCTGCTTGGCCTTCTGTCATGTGACCTTGTCTTGCTTGTCTCTTGCTCAAATCTGAGTTGAAGTCTGAGCTCCAGGAGAAGAGAAACTTCATCCTCAAGACTGACTCCTCTGTCATGCTCATGCTGACTCTGGCACTAACAAGAGTCACAGGCCATGTACCTGGTTCCTGAGTCTTGGTTTCAGCCTCATCAGGGCAGAAAGTCAAGTTGAAGCATCCAAACTTTGCTAATGATGACTGTCTGGAGATTTCCCAGGATGGGCCATTGATACAGTCCATGTCCTTAAACTTCAGGTTAAATCAATATCTCTTCCAACCAACACTGTTATTCTCATAAGCACAGACCCTGGACATCAGTGAGCTCACATCTCTGCTGCATTAAAGCCATCTGATGGCCGCTTCTTTCACAAGGACAGCAGAGAGGCTCCTGGGTAGCAAGCTGAGCTTGAATGCTGCCCAGTTTCTGGGTGAACACACATGGGCACAGTACACTTGTCATCCGAGCTCTCAGGAACCTGAGGCAAGGGGACTGAACGCTGAAGGCCAGTATAAGACACACGGCAAAACTACATCTCGAAAGCAAAAGAAAGGGCTAGCAAGATGGCTCAGTGGGTCAAGGTGCCTGCTGCCAAGCCTGATGGCCTGAGTTCAAGTCTCAAGAACCCACATGGTGAAAAGAGAGAACAAACTCCTTAAAGTTGTCCTCTGACCTCCACATACACCAAGTGGCACATGTGTACACACACAAGTAAATATAGCACACTCAAAAGTTTTAAGACCTCCACTCCCTATACACACACGTACGCCAAGCAAGTTTGAATTCCAAAGGTGCAGTCATAATTTTGAAGCTAGGATTGAATCTGTGCTTTTCCATAAGGAGAGATGGGGGGGAGTGGCGCTGTTCAAGCACTAGGACACAGGAATGGGGCTGCCCAGCATTCTGGGGACGGGAACACATGACTGCCATTCACTGTTCATGCCACACATCAGAGGAACAACAACAGCCAAGCAAGATGCTTCTCGACACTGGAACCTACTTCCCTCCCAGTAAAGATTCAGAGCAGATCTGTGGGGAACATGAAACTTGAGTGTGTGTTCCAGAGATGTGGGGTGGGACACTGAGTAGAGGCTTGCCCTCTGCTCTGTGGCATCACTTCACTTCCAAGATACACAAAGGGGATGTCAAGTTCCAGACCGAGCAGCCCTAAAGCCCATCCAGACTCAGAACACTGGAGATGTTTCCAGTTTCTCTCCCCGAAGGCCTCTGATACCATTTGACAATGAGCTAATACTCAGCTGTCCCCTGTGACGGGTGTGTGTGAAGAGCATGTCTGGTTGTCAGCACACTTGTTTAAGCTCTCCATCCTTCAGAGCACTAAGGAACCAGAACCTCTGTCCATTTGAGAGACTTCTGCTAAATTTAGCTTAACAGCCACAAACGCCCACACTCCAATCAGTCCCCAGAGCCCACAGCTTAGCCTTCCTCGACGACTCTCCTGTTTGCTACAGCAGACCACACAAGGGTAAGGGCCAGGCTTCACGCTCTCTCAGTGGCCATTGTTAAGAGACCATCCCAAGAGCACTGGCTCCTCTTCCAGAGGACCTGGATGGCACCCAGATGGCAGCTCACACACATCTGTAATTCCAGTCCCAGACGACCCGACTCCCTCTTCTGGCAACACAGGCACCGTGCACATGTGTACATACATACATACATGCAGGCAAAGACGGCAAAACACCCATACACATAAATATAAGTTTAAAAAAAGACTATCCGCAAGGAACGTGATAAACTGTCAAAGACGTCCCTCCCCACCTCTCCACAGTGGGAGGGTGACACTGGGCACACACCTTCCCCGAGTCCTGAGTGGTTCTCAGCAAAGGCCTGGTGTATATCCTATGATCCTTGAACCACATTCTACATTGCCCCTCTATTTAAGCCTGGCTTCCCCAAATCTTTAGTATCTCTGGATCAGCTGTGGCCAAGCTCTATAAATAGAGAGCAAGCCAGCTGGTTCTGTCAACCTTCTCATTCTCTGCCATATTTTCAAATTATAAAAATAGCCTTGCCTTCATCACTTTGAAATCATTACATAACATGATTGTTTCAGAGAAGAAAAATTTGACTCTTGTCTTTCTCTAGTTTCCAGAACCCCTGGATCGTCAGACTCTGGTCATTCCCACCAAGCAGACTGTACTTGTCAACAAAGGCTGTGGGCCTACTATGTGTCATGCACTATGTTACAGAAACAAGAGATGTTTAAGACAGAAAGCCGGTTTCTTACTTCAGTCCCCTCTGGAGCTCGGACTTATGTGCATGTAAAGTTAGACAGCACCTGTTAGCACAGCATCAGCACCTGTTAGCACAGCATCGGCTCGGGAACATACAGAGACGTCACATACAGAGTAGATTCCGAAACATTACAGCTGACAAACTCTTCAGACTGTGTGTCTACTACAAAGGACACCAAGCGTCCACTAACTTACACCTCTTCCACAAACACAACAAAACACATTAGCAGACTTTATAAATAAATCATCTTTTAATTACCTGGTTTTTAGTAAGCAGAATCAAGTCCATGGCCTTTTCTAGTCTAATTTTTTTCCCTAATCATGTGACCTAACATACTTTTCTAAAATCTTCCACATTTTAAAAACAAACAAACATGTTCTACCTTTTCTGGCAACCCACAAGCCAACCTCCCTAATTTTCCTTCTTAACTAATGCACTCACCTTAAAGTATTAGTCCCCCTGAAAGGGTAATGGTAAACCCAAGCTCAAGATTATAAGATCAGAGTGTGTGTGGGGGGTGGAGCACAGGGACCCAGAACAAACCAGCACCCACTGTTTCTAGAATACTACCATCACCAGGATCATGGTTCCTCCCTGTGCTGGTTCTGGCCTGGCCAAGCAGGTTTCAGTCCTGTAAGTGGTACCCAAGCAGATGCATCTTGTTTCTGGTCATGACCTAACTCATGTTTGACATTAGGGAAGGACCAGCTCTCAGCCCACGATGAATACCATCATGGCTGCACCTGCTTAGAAAGTGACGACCATAAAGAAGACTCCCGCTTGCCTGCCTCACAGATATGTCTGTAATGACAGAATAAGGACCTTTAGACCTTTATTTGCTGTACTTCCCTGTCTTCCTTTAAAACTTTGCTTTGTGCACCCCTGGGGCTGACCCACTCAAACACAAGAGGAAGGACAGGGTTTCCTTGGGACTTGTCCCTGGAGTGTAGTAGAGCCAGCAGCCCTGGAAGTAAAGCATGGGGGTAGCTCAGGACCTGGCTGTTGGAAGGTTCACCTGTCCCTTCACTGCTTGGTACTGGTGCTTTGACAGTAATCTCTGCTTCCAAGCAGAATGAAGGGGACACTTGAGTTGAACCTTAGGCAGCCAGGGAGAGCACCCTGTCAGAGCACACTGTTGCAGTGTCAGCAGTGTGCTTGGAACCAACACTGCTGCTCCTCTGGTCCACACATGACTACACTAATAAGGGCCCTTACCCAGCAGCTGGGGAGACGGGTGGTTTACACTCCCCAGAGGAAGAGACCTTTGCCTCTGTTTCTTACAGCTACACATCTGACTTTTACTTCTTTGTGGCAGGAACTCACTTAACTTAAAAATGTCCGTAAGGACTTGCTAAGAGACAAACCCATGAGCCACTTGTTCCCCTACCCCCGAGGCACATACTAGGTCTACAACTGCCTCCTTTCTTGTCATTAACATTCACCTTAGGTCAGAGCTGTGCTCTTGGTGTGGACCAGTGACAGTACACAGCAGATAGCACAAGCCCGACCTGCAGCCAGTGTGAACGCTGGCAATCCAGCACAGAAGCGGGCTTCCCTACGGAGCCCAGGCTGGCCTCGGCCCCTCAGGTGCTGGGATCACAGTGTGCTCTCTGTCCTTTCCATGCTGTCCTTTCACTCCTCAGTCACTTATGCGGCAGGAGCAAAGATTTCTCCCTAGCGCCTTTCTAAAAGCTCAGGTAAGGGAACCCCAAAAAACAGTCAGGTGGCCAGCGTGCTAATGGCAATCTTGGCAGAACAGAACCCAGCAGAGAAGGGAAGCACTTGGGGCGCACAGTGCTGGCATCGGTGTCAGTCAAACCTAGCAGGCAGAACTTAGTGCTCGTCATCCGAAGAAAGGCCCTCGATCTCATCTCGGTCTCCTCCTATTGCCATCCAGAAAGCTTTGGCCACCTGTGGAGGGGAGCACGTGACAAAGGTCAGGTGGTTGGGAACAGCTAACCTTCAGGTCACTTCATGTGCCACACCCAAACTGACTAAGGTCTACAATTCTACACTTTCCCCCTCCAACAACACACATTAAATCCCAAGCAGCCTTTGACCCAGACTTCTGGATGCAATCAGGGCTGTGTGAAGGGTGGGGATATGTTTGGTTTCATTACTGACAGAACCAAAGCCACCAGCGCGCAGCTGACCTCAGGAGAAATCAATGATGACACAGAACATAAAAGGAGGTGTCACCAATCATGTCCGTTTCCTGGCAAGAACATTTGTTGCTCTGGTAATGAACAAACAAAACAGCTAAGAGCTTCCTGTCCTAACAGGAAGGCAAGCACGATACCTTTGAGAAGGTATCATGTCACGTAACATGCACTGAAGATAGCGCAGTCTGACTGCAGCAACTGTGTTACTGTTGTACAAGTAACCACCCAGCTGGACGGAGTACCTAGTGCAACGCTCACACTGAGGCCCTGTGGCGCAGTACACGTCACAGCTGAGACCTCTTACAGATCATAAGCACCAGATGGTCTTCTTACCTTTTCTGCATGCAACTTTCTTTGCTCATGAGGAAGCGTCGCAGCCTTGTCTAGGGGGGAAAATACATCTTAAGGAATTTGTCTACTAGCACACGGGAAGCTGGAGCACATGGGCGCTCACACTCGAAGGTGGGATGGGTTTCTGAGACATACGCTCATGGCGCAGTCGTCACGCTATTAGGAAGCTCTATCTCCCAAGTTTTCCAGATGGGACATGAGTGAGCTGTGGGGATGTGACAGATGCTGTGTTAATGAGACTCACTAAAGGGGAGAGACACACTTCAGAAAACTTGAGAGTGAGGAGAAGAGGACGGAGACAGGAAGTTTTCCCCAGGGAATGTTTTTACCAACAAAATGGTCCAATCTCCTAAGCAGCTAAAGTGCCCAAGCCCAGAGCTCAGGATCGAATCTAGCCATCACAAAGTGAGATCCTACTACATAAACTACAGGAGCTCTGGCACTCGAACACTCGGGGTATGGTGGGACAGCACGTGAGGCATGCCAAGATCCTTACCTTTCATTTCTTTTAACTTTGAAAAGAGTCTCTCAAAGTTCTCCAGATCCCCTCCTCCGGTGGTAAGGCTGGCTAATTCTTGAATATCCAGGTCTAACATGGGGTCTGAAATCAGAGTTGGTCACAGATTACTTCTACACGTGGTAGGTATAGTCAGTGCTCGTTCTCTGTGTGCACGTGGGCAACAGCTGAGTGTCGACACATGCCACTCGATGGGTTGCGCCCGGCTAGGCTGCTGGCGCCTCCTCCCTATGAAGGAGCCGTCTCTCTTCATCCTTATGGCACTGATAAAGCAGAGGACACCATTCCCAGTTAGAGCTGCGACTTGTTCCAGCAACTTGCTCTGAAAGGCGCCTTCCCCTACTCAGCAGGGACAGGGTACAATGCTGCCTACACCCACTATTACAATGGCCTGGCCACAGCGAAGCCTATCAGGACAGATATCATTGTCTACAACTTGTAGGTAGGAAAACAGAATAACCTATGTTTAAGAATGAACTCACCTAAATGCCAGCTAGCTACCCACAAGTGGGGCTGTTTTAAACCATGTTTGCTTAATACACTCTTAATACAAATCCTTCAACATTTCTGCCTCAGCACATTACTTCAAAAGATTGTTTTAGTTATGTGCATATTCATGTGTTTCTGTGAGTGGATATGTGTTGGCAGAGACCAGAAGAGGGCTTTAGATCTCCCTGAAGCTGAGGTCAGGGTGCTGGAAATCACGCCTGGGACTTCTATAGGGCACTGCACTCTCTTAACTGCTCAGTCCGCTCCAGCCCCTTCATATTCTTTCCTCCACAGTGACAGTGGCTTCCCTGTCCACCCAGTATCCAGGGCTCCTCAGATCCTTAGCACTGACACAGAGTTGAGTCTGCATTTGTGTAGGCTCCTTGATTTTCTAACATTCTTCACCAGCACTGCAGTGAACACAGAAGACTGAGAGGAGCTCACTTAGTACACTTCTGTCTGTGGCTCTGTCCATCCCTCACCCCCTCTCTTCTATCCATAGCTTTGCCCATCCATTCTTCTTCCTTTGTCTCCCTGTGCCCTTTTCTGGAGCACCAGCGATCAAGCCCGGAGCCTTGTACATGCATAGTAGGCACTCTATGAACGAGTTACACTACCGAGCCATAACCTCATCACAATGGGATGTTTTAACTTACCAGAACATCCTGCTTTTCTACAGCCCTGGGAGGGCAGATTCCTTATTCCTGCTCGAAAGACCATAGGAATCATGTTCTCAAGCCTCTATTACTACTTGAGGTACAGTCTTTACTTTAATCCAATTATATGGTATTCTAATGGCCACAGCCTTGACTATTAGAAGTTCTATTTGGCCACAGAGTCCTTGAAGAGAAGAAGAAATCCCTTTCATTTACCACACTGCCATACAATTTGTTTAAGTGCACTTGGGGTCATAAGTGTGTCTTAATTCAGTGAACACCAAGTAGGCTATTGATGTATAGGCCAAAGGTCGTATTTCTAATTTATCTGTGTAGACAGATGGTAACTGAGCTAGAGATAAAGACAGCGTCACTTTGTGCTTTAAAAAAAAGTTAAAAGGAAGAGTTTAAGGAGACCTTGGCCCTACCCCTTGACTGGGCATCCTGGGAGAGCTGGCCCAGAGGGCCTGAGAGCAGGAGGAGCACTGGCCCCACTCCTCATGCCTGCAGCACTTGGGAGTGTGGATCCTAGCACAGTAGAGCTGGACCTGGCTGAGGTGGGTTGCAGTTGAGCTGGTCCCAAGGGTGTGGGATTGGGAGGGCTGCCCCCACCACTTGCAGTCTAAAGAAGTTAGCACTGCACGTGGCTCCTGATGGCTCACAAAGCAAGAACACTAGCACTCCCCTCAGAAGTACACCACGGTTACTGTCCACTAAACTCCTTGGCTTGCTGGCCTTTGTAAAGACAAAGTAGGTGCCAGTGTCTGGTTCACCAAAGTCCAGGTTTCATGGCCATAACACATATTCTTTGAAAACCCCAAAACCAGATAACATGGAGGCAGGAGAGATCCTTTAGAAGTGTAAGAGTCTAACTCCACTCATGTGACATGCCGGTCACCAGTAGCTCTGGCTAATGTTAAACCCCATGAGAGACTTGCAGAAAGCAGAGCTGACCACCGTCTGGCTGGCTGGCTGAGGCGACATGATCTGAATCAAGACCGTGCTGAAAGAATGGAGGAGGAAGCCACTGTCTGCCCTTCCTCAGAGGGCTCATGCCCAGCGGCACGCCATACATCTTCTTCTCCGTGTTTAAAGGGACTCTCCCCTCAGTGCTTTCTGGCTGTGTGTCTGAGTCGTGTCTCTGTCCCTGGGGAGCTCATGGAGGAACTCACCGACAGTGCTGTCGGCCTGTGTGCCTGCTGAACCACATGCACCACTGCGATGGCCAGGGAGGGACTCCGTCCTCTCAGCTGCTGGCGATGGCTCCTGCTGCTGGGGAAACACAGGGAAGCAACAATTTAACGGGAAGTGATCTTAGAATTCCAAAAGGGTTTACTCGTTCCACCCCCAGCTCGCTGTGGAGAAGCACTGACAGAACCTGAAGGAGGAGACACACGCGAACAAGGTCTCATTCAAACACAAACAGCTGCAAAGCCACTGCCCCAGCTGAACTGTTTTCAAGGAAAGACTACAGAATGCTAGCACGTGCTTGCATCATTTAAGATCCATGGTATGGGCTGGGGAGATAGCTCAGTCAGGAAAGAACATGTCTGGTGGGCATGCAGATTGGAGTTGGGTCCCCAGGACCCACAGAGAAAGGCCAAATGTGACACCCTGGGGAGGCGGGGACAGGAGGGTCCACAGGGCTGACTGACCTAATTGGTGAGCTCTGGGCTTAGTAAGAATCCCTGTCTCAAAGGAACATGGCTTGTGTTCCTTAGGATGACGACCCCTGAGGGTGTCCTGTGGCTTCCAAACACACACACACACACACACACACACACACACACACACACACACACGCACCTGCACAGACACAAGTAAACATGAACGTATGCACAGACAACTAACATTGATAGAACACGAATAGCTCAGTGTCTGGGGAGATGATGGTGGCTTCCACCCAGCACCTGGGTCCAGCAGGCTGACCAAGTGACCTCAGAATGGTGCTGCTGAGGACAGGGTGTAGAAATGGACTGTCAGCTCACGCAGAGCCCACTCGGGACCTTGGTAAGCAAGTATAGAAAAGAAATCATTTTTATTTTCTATGCAAGATTATCCTTGCATAGTTAAAAAGTACTCTAGCAAAACAAAACAAAACACAACAAGAAAAATCAAAAAGCCCTTGCAGGGTATCCCTGAGTGCAAACCTGCCGAGGGGGTGGACTAGCACTCCCTCAGCAGGGGTCAGACGGGACATTTCAGAGTCTCCCTTCAACTGCTGAGATCTCTGCTGCCTCTTAAATGAAAGCGAGAGAAATTATGAATGTGTAAAGATCTGTAACAACAAGGATATTAAAGTCAAAGAGGTGAAAATTCTTTACCTCGGAGTGACAGCTCTCTGCTGATCCAATGTGGTGGTTTGCTCCAGCCAGCGAGTTGAGAAGGCTGAAGCCCTGGCTCCTGTCTGAAGAGAAAACATCATGAATGTGGTCAATATGACTACAGTGAGAAGCAAAGGCTCTGTCCTCAATTCCACCTCTAACCATGCTGGTAAAAGAGTTTAGACACAACGTACTTAGAAGAAGTAAGGTCACTGGGCGCATGTCCCTGAAGGGGACACTGGGATGTGGGCCTCTTCAGTCTTTTTTGCTTCCCGGCCACTAGTGGTGAATAGTCATTTCCAGACACACACCATAATATACTGTGGAGTGACAGGTCCAAAGTAACAAGGCTAATCAACTACAGATTGAAACCTTGAGCCAAAGTAAACTGAGCCTTGTAAGTTGATCATCTCAGGCATTTTCTAACAGCGATACAAAGTTGACTAATGCATAGTCTCGCAATTCTGAATAATCTAAGCAACAGAATATGGGTCAAGGTGAAAAACTAGCAGGCTAGTACACACAAATGCCATTCCACGGCTCCATTTTCAAGTTATGACGTCAGTGTTTTAATAGTTGATGTTGATTAAAAGTCCTAAACATTTTATATGTCAGCTTGAAAGCATTACTACTGTGTAAACAGGAGCATGACATCATTTCGCTCCTGAGGAGCCACCCTCCGTCAAGGTTCCCACGGTGCTTGTGTCACAGTGAGGAAGGTCTGGGGTAGAGTGTCTGAAACCGATCAAAGGATCACCCAGAACATAGACTGAGACCAAGCTCAGGACTCATGGCCTCTAAGGCTCACTGGCTCACAGAGCTAGGCAGAGGCCCCCTCAGCTCAGCCTCCAGCAAGTGCTCCAGTCGGCAGCACTGGGATCAGACAGGGGATTAAGGCTTCTGCAGCCTGCAGCCCTGGGGACAGTGCACCCAGCTCTCAGGGCGTCAGCACCTGAGGACAGGTTCACTCACATAGCAGGTAGCTCCTGCTCTTTGGGCTGTGGATATCCAGGACTCATGGACTTCCCCTGTCATGAGTGTGCACGTGCTGGCTGACTGGAAAGAAAGGCGGACTGTGCGGCCGACACAGCGCCTCTCTTCTATTGCTGGAAACAACTTGGAGGCTGGGTCATTTCAACTGTAACTCAGAAGTGTCCCCATTCTATAAGTTCGGCATCCCACGAAATTGGCAAGCTGGTGGGACATGTGACCCCAAAGTGCATCGGAGATCAATGCCTCCTTTCTCACAGGAAGGAGCCAGGCAGAGGGGCATGCAACCCTACAACACACTATAAACCTTTGGGCACCTTTGTTTTTTCTATGACCATCCTTTTTAATTTTTTTTTAAAAAATTAGTTTATGCTATGTACATTCAGCTACAATTTTAAAACCAGCAGAATAGTGTTTAATGCTCTGAGGCTAACAGGTAAAATTGTCAGAAAAAAAGAGTAGCGGGAAGAGGCGGAGCTTCCCATCAAACCCTAGCTTTTCTCTCACGGCCCTGCCCACCTGCATGACCTCAGACTAACCAACCCCACAGTGCCTCAGCCTGCTGGTCTGTAAACCAATGGTCGCTGAGCAAGAGAGCTGGTGATTGAGAAGAGATTCTCAGCCTCCTCTCCTCATGCATCTTGGAATTTGCTGTGTTTGAATATTTTTCTTCTTTCTTTCTTAATAGATTTTATATAAATATATACATTTATATTTATTTAAAATGCTTAAATTTTAAAACACTAAAAAGTTCCCGATGAGTCACGTGTTTAGGAGTAAGCTGGAGGTAGCTGGGCTCGGTGCTTTCTGATAAACAATGGAGGCTCAGTCAGCTTGTCAGAGGCTTCATTATGTCTCTCTGCTTAGATTTTTAAGGAAGTCAGAGACACATTTATACAATTGAGAAAAGAATCTACTTTTGTTTATTCAAAGCAGACTGCCTGCATGGAGGGTTGCTCAAAAGGCTTGGTTGGCATTTTACACACTGGATCTTCTGGTCTAGTGTTCTTCACAGTTCTGCCCACAGGCACCAACTGCACGCCATGCTCACAGGAAAGAATTATGTAAATCTCTCTTACTTGCTAGCAACCATCTCCTCCAACCCCAAACCCTGCAGCCTCCCGGGTTTCTGGCATGGGAACACTACTCCTACTGAGAAGGTCCTTTCCCTTCAGCTGCTGAAACTGTACACTAGACTAGGAAGGAAGGGATGCAGGAGGGGCAAGGTTTAATGAAAAAGAAATCAGCCAGGAAGCATAAAAAGAGCAGTCACTGCTTACCAGTGAAGACCCAGGTGCACCAGAGCAGACTGCTGTGGTTTTTCCCTAAACAAGTTAAGCAGTCCTAACTTAGAAAACTAAAATGCTTCAGAATCCTAAACTTTCTCAGCACCACCATGATGCCTCAGTGGGAACTCTTACACTGCCAAAACAAAGGTGCAATCAACATTGTTCCAAATTACCTCCAGGTTGCATGCATAGGTGTATAGAACACCAGGACAGACAGACAGACAGACAGACAGACAGACAGACAGACCAGACCAGACCAAACCAAACCAAACCAGAACATATGTCCTGTATACATGTGTTTAAGAATTCTAAAATGCAGAAAGTCTAAAAACCTGAGAAACTCAGTCCTAAGCATTTAGGTCAGGGGCACTCAGTCCATATTACATATTTATGATACAGTTTAACTTATAAGTTAGATACAGTTAAGACAATAACCACAATAAAACAAGTATTTAAAGCAGAACACAGTAATAATTTTCTGACTGGAGAGATGGCTCAGCAGTTAAGAGTACTGGCTGCTCTTATGAAAGACTGCAGTTGGTTTCCAGCAATTACATGGTTGCACACAATCCTCTGTAACCTCAGACTCAGGGGATCTGTTACCCTCTTCTGGCTGCTGTTGGTCCTGCAGGCCTACAGTGCCCCCCACACACTAAGGACCAAACACAAATAAAAAGGAAAAAAAAAAAATCAAATCCACCTTTCAAAAGAGCTCTGTGGGACAGCTGCTCTCTCTCCCAACATTTCCATGTACTGAACTCACTCCTCTGGTGACAATGGGAGAAGACGCTCAAGGAATTCTGGACGGCTTCTCTTCAGTTCATCCCAATTGCCTGGACAACCAGCATCATTAGTACTGACTCTGAACCCATTATTAACGAAGTAGGGATCATGTGAACACAGGCACTCAAATACCTCAGCAGTCAAATGACAGTTAAGATGGCTACTGGTGACGGCTGGGCAGGTGGCAGTGTGTGGGATGGGCCACTCACAAGGTCAGCCTGCCTCCTTGGGCAAGATGGTACAATACGCCACCCTGTCACTCAGAAAAGCACACCGGTTGAAAACAGGAGCTATTTATTTCTAAAACTTCTGGGGTAGTCTGTTAACTACAGGTAACCACACCACAGATAAAGAGGGACAACTCTGTATTAAATTTATCCCCAAAACATGTGGCTCCGTTCCACCTGCCCAGTGAATTACAGATGGGAGACAATGGTGCCATTAGAAACAAAAACAAACAAAAACCAACCAGACCCAGCAGAGCGTGTTATCAGCACAGATTCTTCAAATGCTAAGGATGTCCTTGGCCACAGCCCCTAACCTATGTGGCCTATTAAACACCTGTTCACTTTTTAGTTTTTATTTCTGAAAAGCAGCAAATATTGGGCATCACCCAGGAAGTTCAAGCACTCTCTGTATTTTAAGGTGTTCTTATATTCTTTCCGTGAACCAGTCTTCTCCACTTACATGTTGTGAGAACCACAGCCAAAGCACTTCTAAGTTCATGGAGACAGCACGCCCACTTTTTAGTGATAATCTTAGGCCATGCCACAACCTTTAAGAAAGGTCACAAGTGCTGTCACCAGTTCCAGGAAAAAGAGTCTACATTAGAATGATAGCATATTCCATTTCCCCCTGGTGAGTTTAGGAAAAACAAGACAGACAGACAAAAAAAAATACAACAACAACAACACAGGACACTGGAGAGATGGCTCAGCAGTTCAAGAGCACTGGCTGTTCTTCTAGAGAACCAGGGTTCAATTCCCAGCACCCAGTGGCAGTTCACAACCATCTCTGAAAGTCTTGTCCCAGAGGACCTGATGCTGTCTTCTGGCCTCTGTGAGCACTGGACCCACATGGTGTAAACATACATGGAAGCAAAACGACCCTGCATACTAAAAAAAACAAAACCAAACCATAAAATCATAAAACCCTATTTATTCTCTCACTGAACCCCTGCTTGGAGTCTTGAATACATCATTAAAGCAATGCTTACTTGGGCTCATTTGGACTCGGCCCTCCATGTGGTTTGGCTTGTGATACAGATTCAGGGAAATGCACCTCTGCTCTCTGCCTGCGACACGGGGGAGCCGCTCAGAAGTCAAGAGTCACTCCTACAAGGACGGAGTAAGATCACACTTTTCTCGCCCTCTACTATTCACTACAGAGAATGAAGCACCAGGGACTGACAGCAGGCGGCAAGGACACAAGTGAGTGCCGGGTGAACGTTCTCCTCCTCTTGTACACACAGCCTGAAGACTCACAAGTGTGTCAGGGTGAAAGTCTTCCTCCTCTTGCACACACACAGCATGAAGACTCAACTACACTTGGGAGTGAGCACCGTCTTTCCCACCATCATGAAGGAGAGCTCTGAACTAGTCGAACAAAGGCCCTACTGTGTGTCCTACCTCCTCAATCTGAAGTGCCTGCCAGAAAAATCTTCGAAGGCCTGCTGGCCATCGAGAATACAGCCACTGAGACTCGTATGTGGGAGACGTTGGCAGTGAAGACTCCAAGCAGCCGGCTCTCTGACACGGTACGTAACCAGCTTTGGAAACGAGGGAAAAGCAGGGTGGTCAGCAGCGCGGCCTCCAGGGTGCCTGGAAGAGAGCTGCGGCCAGTGCTTTGTGTGTGACGCTCCTGAAGGCCACACCGGAGAGGCACACCGTTTCTCCCGATCCTCACGGATGTCCTACAATCCTCTCCACTTAGAACCCATTCGCTCACTATGCTCTGGTACACACGGGACAGCCAATGACATCACGGATAGGGACAGTCTGAGTGCTCAGGTCGTATCTTGG